CAAACTAAGCTTCTTTTTTACACAGCTCTTCTGAAATGCCAGAAATACCAATATAAGAAGAATTGCAGGAATAGTATTTTCCCACCAAACGTCACTTATTCTGCACCAGAAGTATCACAAAAAAGTGCACATTATCGCTTTGGCCAACTTAATTGCGTTCCCTAGTAGTTATCCGTATATTACTAAGCAAAAATGAGCGGATAAAACTCAGACTGAACAGCAGAGCTCCTCAACTAAACACAGACGTATAAAATCATTTATCACCAGAACCAATAACAACAAAAAAAATAAATACATAAAATCAATTAAAAATCATCGTCCTCTTCCTCGGCCATCTCTTTTGCAAATTCCAGCTCCTTAAAGCAGTATAATCAGTAAGTTTCAGCAACTTGATAGCAGTGAAATAACAGTCATACTTATACCATACCAAAAAGCAATTTTAAAGTAAAATTACCTGTTGTTCACGCGCACGCTGCTCTTCTATAGTTTCAACTTTAGCTTTGTTAACATTAGCTGGATATCTAAGCGCTTTAACCGCTTGATTGTGTAACTCCAAGCAGTAACTGAAACTGGTTGTCTTCAAGCAAAGGTCTTTACTGGGAACTTTAATATGTTTTAAAAAAGAAAAACAAAGAAATAATTAACAAAGTTATTCTTTAGGAAGCAACTACACGTAATATTCCCCAAAGTGTGCGTTTTAAAAAGCTCCTGAACGAAAATGGAAAGCTGTACCGTATACGGGCATCGAAGTGAGTTTGAGGCTCGGTCGTCCTATAAACATCTTCTCCTTCTTTCGACTGCATATATCGCTCAGAAACATCATTATCGAAAGTAATGACAGCTTCAATGCTCCCATCCTTTATAGCCTTAACAATATCCATACTGTTTAAAAAATGCAGTAAAAAAGAAGCAGGTGAAAAAAATTTGAAAAAATACAAACCTTCGCGACTAAGTACTCCGCCTCATGATCGCTATGTAATGAAAGTTTCTTGCCAATGTCGTGGATGGAAATGCAAGAATATGCAGTACTTATTTGACGCAAAGCAGTTTTTATAACATTTTGACGAAGGCGTACAATAAGAGTAAAAGTTTCATCAGGTTCAAACACACGCTTTGCATACTTGTCCAGAACTTTGTTGAACTTCAGCAAATCTCCAAGACGTACAGCTAAATCAGTTTATAAAATTTATGGTCTTAACAGTTGCACTTGAAGGATACTGTAGAACAGCTTTCTATAACATACAAAAAAATAACCTTGTGTCAGCTCTAAATATGGCGCTAAAGTTCTTCTGTGTATAGGCTGGCGGAAAATAGTTCTTTCAGGTATTTCTCCTTGCAAAAGACTGATTACAACAACCCACTTTTGAACCTGTCAGATAAAAGAAAAATCAACTGCGGTCAAGGCGAATTAAAGCTGAATTCTTCGAAATGAAGTAGAAAAATCAAAACAAACATTTTGTTTGAAACCTATAGCAGAGTCTTGGGGAGCCTTCCTAATCGCTTGCTGGAAATAACCGGCAGCAGCAGTATAGTCAAGCTGCATTGCCTTGATTCTTCCCTGGTAGTATAAAAATCGTGCAAGATCATTATTTGAAGCACCTTCAGGAAATGTTACCTGGAAGAAATAGAAAAAATCTCTCTCACAAACCCCATAGCAAAGATGCTTCAGAAGAAAAATGAGTAACTCCAAAACATTCAAAAGAAACCTTCGAGACTAGTTTAGCTGCTGCCTGATATTGTTTGCTTAGCAAGTACGAACGTAAAAGGCAGACTATTAAGACGGCCTGGGAGTCGCTTTGCCTTCGTAATGTAGCAGTTCTGAGATGGGCATTCAGAAAACTGCAAAACAGCGACAGAATATCCGCCTACTCTCAAAAAATTAAGAGGAGAACAAAAACTGTGTAAAAATTTTTAAAAACTAATTGTTGAAGTGTTCGCTTACGCCCTCAAATCTTTCAATTTTCCTGCTTTCTCGTATATTAAACAAAGATAAAAGAAAGCTTTTGCGGCTATTGGATCTAGAGTCCTTTTATCACAAACATCGATCCTTGCTATTAATGACTCGACACTCTAAAAAGCAGAGAAAAAATTTGAGCTCCATTATTTAAAAAATAAAAAAAAAAGTTTTAAAGACTTGAAGTAGATGAAAAATAATGAAAAATGTACCTTCTCTGCAGTACTCCATTGTTCATGATCCACTAGATAAAGAAGAACTAAAAGATGCAAATACAATTCTACTTCTGGATTTCCCACAAGAACGTTAGAACCATACAAACGACGAGATGGTCGTGGAGACCGCCCTCCTTTACCACAATCAATTTCCATCTAAACAATTTTCAAGGCTTCAGCAAAATATTTAGTGACAAAATTGAAAATGTTCCAACGTGCTCTACGAGAAGACTTACAGGAGTAACGGCTGCAGAAGACGTGGAAGGTGGTAACCAACTGCATAACTTTTCACGAGCCACAGCCTGCCCAGATAGCTGGGTAGCAATCAACTTATGCATTATGTTTGGATTTATCTGTTTCCGAGTTTTTGGAAGCGACTGTATCATACGCGACAGAACATGCATTTCGCCTCTGTCAAGTTGATTGCACCACTCTTTTAAAGCTAAAAAAACTCTTTTAGAGTCTGGCTTACGGATCAGGAACATCCGCGAACATTATAAAGAAGTAAAGAAAATGATACAATTGCAACTAACTTTCAAAAGTTATGGCATCTAAATCAGGCGCCTTCTCAGGTTCTGCTGCTTTATTTTTCTCTTCCTCCTGTTTCTTTGGGCTGTCATCATCAACTTCCATCTTCTCCACCATATTGCCCGCGTCCTGAAAATCTGGTCGGTAACGATGGGCTTCCAAAATGAACGCCGTTGCTAACACATAAAGGTGTCATCAGCAGCTTAACTTCGCGGATGAAAAGCAAGTGACAACTGCAGAGTACTTTTTCCAAATAACCACTGATAATATTTTGCTCAAAATTAGACGTATAAGACATGTCTCGTTTTTCGCAAAGAACCGTGTATAAGCAGGAAAAATGACTGCAAAGCATCTTTATCACTTAAAACACTTTAAAGTGAACAGTCGTTGGAACAGAAGACAATACAAAAAACGGTTCGAATTGGAAAATCCTTTTCAGAAAGAAAGATTCGCTTTTCAGTTAAAAAAAAACTATCCCTTCATTACTTTCTTCGATCTCAGTAAATCTAACTTTGGCAAAATGCCAACCGGTGTTTTGATACTACTTATTTACAAACAGCTCAATAGTCTCGAAAAAAGATTACACAAGGATTTTCGTTGTAATATTGAAATTTAGGAAAATACTTTTCTGAAAGAATTTTTTGCGGGAATCAAGTGGTTTTCGGGTGTCGAAATAAATGTTCTTGAAATTAGTTCAATTGCATCTGGCGACGACCGGGAAGTGTTCGTGGTTAAATGTTCTAGATAAATGCCTGAACAGTAATCAGTTAAAGTTATTCTTGGTTCGCTAATCAGATATGTTTTTCTGGGTGCCATAATCAATGTAGTATCTGTATCATCGATGATATAAAGCGTAACAATTTCTGGCATAGCCAAAAGTATTCGTACGCCTGGTACTAACAGGTTTGGCAAGTGTATTTTTTGCAAGAGTCTTCAAACACTTAATCTTGCTTAGAAGTGTCCGATGGAATAAGGGAGTCATCAGTTTTTGTTGACCACGAAAAATAATTACAGTCGGATGCGGTTTATGAGTTTAATAATTTATTTCTATTGAGATTGATACTCTGATAATATTGCAGTCGTTAGGTTGCTCTTTCTGTATATGTTGTTGTTCCCGTTTCTAATAATTTAACTTCATATTAACTGCTTCAGTCAATATTTTGTTCATCGATTGCACAATATTGTGATATATTTGCCATACTTGCAAACAAGCCCATCTTTCGTTCTCTGCAAACTGTCGTAAATGTTCGTGAAGTTTCATGAGTCACGTTTACTTCTCTTTAAAAAATCATCACTTCAACCGACTGATTCCTCATAAATTTACCTCTGTTGAAATGTTTGCTAGTATCCACATGTTTGACAAAAATGCATCTTATTGTGGCCCTTGGCAGTATGCTCGTTTTAGCGTCAAACAGCTGAATATTTCAAAGCTAAGTTAACTTCTGCTTATATTTAGTTTTAGGGTTGAGGAAACAATTTGGTGGTAAAGTTGCCGCTGGATTAATGAATGGCTGGGTCAAAATTAGAGATGAATCAGACCAGCTGTTCACAAAAGGCAACCGTAACTTTAGCAAGTGTTATATCAGGATTGAGAGAGGTAGAAAATTTTTTTTTAATTTTATATTTTTTCAAACCATATGGAAAGATGTTTAAGATGTCTTTGCCTGCCTGGAATTTATAAAGAATTTTAGATTTGTTATTCACACAATATTTTTTTCAGGGTGACTCCTCAGCTGTTGCAACGTACCACAAACTATGTAGGCAGTTGGACGAGATAGAAAACTGGCTACCCGAAAATATAACTGATTTTCTGGAACAATTTATAAATATCAGTGATATTCTGGATGCCAGCTGCAAATTAATTGTTGAAAAATTTGCTGTAAGCCTTAGCTAGAGAATCATTTCATTATTTTCTTATTCTTCTTAAAATGGTGACCATATTCTTAAAACAATGGTGTTGCTCGTGAAGCTTTGTTATCGTTTTTTCAGGGGCTAGGGTGGCACGTTGTTCCTCTGCAAGTGCGAAAACGTTATGTAAACATGCTGCAGAAACTAGCAGTTCATCATGTCTGTCACACTGAAACTTTAATTTCTTGTTTTGTTTCAAATCTACTGCCTAAAGTACGCCCTCTTATTGCCGAGAAAGGTAACCTTTCAAAATTTTTTTTTTAGCGTTACACGTGACAAATATGCAAATCCCAGCTTTTTAGATGTTGGAAGTAGTGACTGTTCTACATCTGTTCCATGCCAGTTTGAAACGTTACTCAGCGAGGAGGAGCAACTTGATATATACGATATGGCATTTGATGCCATTAAGTTTGTTATCAATTGTTTTCCAATGTAAGTTAAAAGTATCGTCTTTTTCAAGATATCTTTTTCTCAACATTTATTAACCACTTTTTGAAAACTATTTTACAGCGCTTTGTACTTTAGGACTGTGCACTTGTTGGAAGAATCTTTGCGGTGGAGATTTCCACATTCTTCAGCACCATTGCCGCGATATGAGGCATATCTAAGAAATATACTTCTTATTTACGAATTTGCAGTCGATATTCGCAGAGAACTGTGGAAACTTTTACTGGAAAACATAGCACAACTAGATGTAAGTTGCAAAAAGTGAGCACAAGATTAGGGCTCCAACTCTAAATTTTTTCATTAAAATTTGATTTTTCTGGAAAATAACAGTGTTTCATTCAAGTCAATTTTGTTTTATTTGCAGTCTGTTATCTCGAAAAAAATTGCTTCCAACATGAGTAACCAGAACAATTTTAATGCGAACGAAGCCTATGAGGTTTTTCTTTTGGTTAGTTAGCAATTTCCTATCGATTTTGTTATGTGTAGGTTCAGCTTCTAAATCAGCTTTTGCCATTTTTCTCAGGCGAAACTTGTTGTGTAACTTCTTTTTTGGTTTGTTTGTGTTGTAGAGTTTCTGGTATTTGTAGGATGAGGAAAGTGAACGCTGGAATGAGAAATTGGCAGTAGAAAGTATAGAGCTGGAACAGAAACTTGATACCTGTTTATGTCTAATATTTGCTCAAATTTCTAAGAAGCATCATCGTGAAATTCCACCAGAGATTGGTAATAACTTCCTTGAAAACATTCGGCTTTGCGTACAAATGGAATTCGCTTTGCTGCTTTTTTACTAGGCCATTTAAACTTTTAGCCCCGATAGTGAAGTGGACTGATAGATGTATGATTCAAAAAGACATTTACTTCCACATTCGTGACGCTTTTGAAACATGGTTTTTAACGTCTCCTGGATTGAAGTGCGCTCCATTTATCATGCTTTTCTTACTTAGTTTGGATGAAGTGAGTTTTCCGCGTATATTTCTGTAGTTTAATAATTGAGCTTTTGGTAGCAGTTACTTTCTTGAGCATGACTGTTTTTTTTCTTTTTATCGTCGTCATGTTTTAGAAATATTTGAACAATTTCACTGGTTGGTTATGGAATTTTGTCCTTTCGCCTAGTCAGTCTCCAAATGACTGGAAAAAAGCGCATTCCGCAGCGTGTTATTTGGGTGGCATTTTATCAAGAGCTAAGTTTATTGACTTCAGGTTACTTTTATCTTACAATCTTTCTGCTTCTGTTGTTGTTGCATTTAATTTCTACTTTAAGTAATTCCTACAGCTCAGCCTATAAAGGAAATGTTCATATTTGGGTTTTTTTATTATCGCACTGGCTGGTAATAATTGGTTCGGTTTGTGTGTTTTGTGTAGTCTCTCCAGTCTCTGTTCGGAATTTAAAGCTGGAAATTAACGGAAGCAGCTGGGCTAAAGCTACAAATTTTGATTATATTCACTCTCTAGCCAGACTATGCACTGTGGTGGGACTTCTGCTCTAATTAGTTGTTGCCGGCAAAGTCTAATATTTTAAATTTTTGACGAAGTACGATTTCAGAGTGAATTTAATTGGGCAGAAACTGACCAAGGCAGTGGTGAATGAACTTTTTTTCGATTTTTTTGTTTGAGAGTACTAGTAAAAAATTCTCTACATTTGGGTCAAAGTGTAAAACTAAATATATTATTAGCGGTCAGGACTTAGAATATTTTTTTCACAAGTTCTGTTTTCTTATTAGGAAATGTTTGTTATAAATAATTTTTTTTTAATATTTCTCCTGAAAACTACTGTCTTTACAGTTAAGTTTTGAGTGACACTTGTGTTTTTTAAGCTTAATAGAAGAAAAAATAAAGCGGTTATGAAGGGTTTCATTTGGCAGGTTCTTTACAGTTTTTGTTGTTGAAAGTACCGAAGAAATTATATTCTTGGCAAAACAGCAGTCCAACCCTGTTGATATGTCATTCACTTTGCCTTGGCTATTTTAATCGGGGCATGGTTTGACACTGGTCCTAACAGGAGTACATAGGGGTGTTATTCAAAATGCATGCTGTAGATGAATTATTTATTGTCTCGTTTATTGCACATCTTTTAGTCGAGAGAAGCATGGGTGTGAAACGGCTGGACGTATGATTTTGCTCTCTCTTTTTTACTTTTTTATTGGGTCAAAAATTTGGAAGGTTTAGGTTTGTTTATAAAACAAAGAGTAGAAGAAACTGTTTCCGTCTTAGCACAGTACCCTGAGTCAATATCCAAACCTGTTATATCCGGCACGTTTATTTATAGGTTTTTCTTTGGATGGCTGGAAAGAATGGCAAAGTGGTGTAATCACTATGTCGATGAGGTAGTTGGTGGTTCAGCAGCTGCCAGTGCTGGAACATTACGACACGGCGTTTTTTATGCTGTTTGTCAGGCATTATTGCTTGCCTTTTCATTTCGTTTTAGAGAAGTAGTTAAACAAGAAGGTGTGTTTTACTGTATACTCGTTTATGCTTTTTTTGCTCTCTGCTTCCTGGCGTCAGTACAGATTTTCTTGATTTTTTTTCATTAATAAGACTCAGAGTATTTTAATTGTTGCTTGCGGGAACCGATTTTGTTTTGATTTTTTATTGTACACTTCACATTTTTAACAGAACTTGAGAATGTACGACATTGGGGTCTTGGTCATATTATCCATTGCACGTTACAGCCATTGCAGTACATCAATGCTACAGTTGCTCTGAACTTTGCAACCATCAGCAGGTTTGATTGCAGTTGTTTATGTCATGTTTTTTTTTTTGATTTCTAGCTAGATAATGGCGATTTTTCACATGGTTGGTTTTAATTCGTAACCTAGAATTGCAACAGAATTCTTTTTTCAAATGTTTTTTTTCAGTGGCTTCAGAAAATAGCTTTTCAGTCAGTGGGAAATTTTCCGATTTTTAGGTCACTTCAACTGGTGTATTGCAATCATATCCTTCCAGCAAATTACGATGATATCAATATACCGTTCGAACCTTTCTTTCCATTTGAAATTTTCTATTTGAAGCGGTACTTTTTTGTTTCTTTTTTTCTTACAAGTTTATAGTTCCTGCAGGCTTTTTTTTTCATGTCATGTGATCAGTTTTTGGAGAACTTTTAGGTCATCCTTATTTGTGCAAAATTTGACACTGCAGTTTTATCCAATAGTTGAAGAAAATTGCGAAAGATGGCGTCGTCGCAGTGGTCGTTACAACTCGATATCTTCTCAAGATAATTTTGAACATGGTTCCTTGGAGTTCCTCGAGGACTTGAAACGTGATAAAGATCTTATGAATGGTAAGCTTTATAAATTGTGGTACAGAATAGTAACTTACAGTTCTTTTTTTTATTTTCCAGTTAAGGAGTTATAATTTTTCGATCATTAGCTGTGGTTTAAATTTTATTTAATTGATGCTTGTTTGGTAATTTGGTAGTAACTTAAATTCTTCTTGAAGAAATTTTTTAGACAGTTGTCGAGACATATGGCCGCTCGTACGTTCTCCAGATTTTGAGTTCTTATGCTCTAAACATTCTCCAAAAGCTGGGGCGTTTACACCGTCCTCAATCATGGATATCAGTTAAAGATCTTTGGTACGTGCACGGTTTCTCTGCAGTGGATGGAAGTTTGTAACTACCGTTCCATACAGTTGAATAACGAATACTGTTGAATTAAGCTCTTATTTTGAAAAATAGGGTTTAGCATGGCATTAGTGATTGCAAATTCTAGCGTTGTCAGAAGCTTTAAGTCTCTTTCTCTTCTGTTTTTATTTTGTGAGGTCTCTTCCTCAGCTTCTTGTTGATTTTTTTTTTGTTCTTTATAATGGGCTGCGTCTCGGCCGTCTTTGAAGATTGGATTTCTACACGTTGTTACTTTTTTCTTACGGAACGTTGTCTTAGCCTGATTTTGTTGAATATTGGTTTCTACTGCGAAGTGTCTGTAGAATATTTCCGTATTTCCACATCGTTGTTGCAGTCTTGTTGCAGTTTTACAAATAATTTTACAGTTTGGGCTAAAAATTTTAAATTTATTATTTCTCGTTTGTTGTGATTTACTGTACCTATCGTCCTTGTTGCGTTTATAGCCAGATACAGTTATATTAAGACAGCAAGTTTCACGCTACTTTCTGAACCTGCTTTGAGGCAATCTTGTTTAAAGGTTAACAAATGAGATGGTGAAATATGAGAAATTTATTTTGATTATCAGATCTTGAACAAAGTGCGTATGAAATAAGCGAGTCTTATGTAAATTTTGATTTTGTATGCGAAATAATGAATTTAGAAATTATAAAAAAAAATGAATTCTGTTACTTCAGGTATTCTTGTTTGTTGTGTATTTCCATAAGTTATGCTAAAACTACTTTCGGTGAACAGCAGGTGGTTCATGAATTATTGGAGAGGTTGGACTGTTTAGTTGTATTGTGGGAACTTTGGCGGGATTAACCGCTCTTAATAGCTTAAGCAAGACCATTTCGACGGGGATAGTCCGGTTGCTGCGATTGCATATAGTGAGGATTGAAAGGCAATGCCGGAAAGCTATCGACAGGAGAAAGTCGTTAGCCTTGAGCTAACGCTCTCCACGGAAAGAGTTCGTGTAGTCCCAAGTGACGTTAGGCCCAGTTCTTTTAGGTGCTTCCAATACTGGTCAACATCGAGCCCTTCCCAACTGGCATTCTGTAGTCGATCAAAGTACCTAGAACAGTGCGGGGAAATTTGCCATATTGAAATTGGGGTGTTCGGAATTCACGCTTGGAAACAGCGGAAGGAAGATTCAAGGAAAGGCTAATGATTGTGAGTAAAACCTTCTTAACAAGCGGTCCTGGACACGTTGCTCAGTTTCCGTTAATTTGTCTGTCTGTGAGATTTGTACGGCTTGAAGTACCTGTTCTGTTGAAGCCATACCAACGCAACAGGTAGAAATGCCAGGGAAGTTTACAGCGTAATGGAGTGCAAGTTTTTCTAGCGCCACTTTTTTGTCCTGTAAGAGGAAGAGGTTGTAAACGTTGTAGTTGGTGTACAAAGGTTTATTTCCACATCAGTTTAAAAATTTCAGCTGTTGAATTTGACTTCTGGCTCGATTTTTAATGCTGGTGGTAGTTTTCTGTTTTTTTGAATTTGTAGAAAGTGACGTTTCTTTGAATATTGACTTTTGTCATTTCTTTCTTGTGTTGTAATTTTCTATCTTAATTTAGAAGCTAAATTTTAGTGATTTTTTAGCCTCTATATTCCTTTTTGTCATGTAGAGTCTTCCAGAAAATTTCTTTCAGAGTTTTCTTGGAGGTTTTATATTGCAGCTAATATTTGATATTTTACCCTTAAACTAAGCAGAAAATATTCAAGGAGAGAAAGTTTTTTCTCTGTCGATACTCCTTTTAAACTCAAGAATTGACCTGAGAAAAGTATTAGGCAGGAGAAGTTTTGTTAGGAGAAAGAAATTTTGAAACATAAATGAACTCTTCGAAAATGAGTTTTTTGGCATTTTTATTCTTGCATTATAGCTGTTCACTTACCGTACAGTAACGTGCGGCAGTAGCGCAAGTATCTTTTACTGCTTGTAATGCTGGATGCCATAACGGAGGTCCCTGGGTGGTAAGCAAACCCATCGACAGTGGTGAGGCATTGATTATTCCAATACCTTTTGACTGAAATTGTAGTGTGTCAAAGATAATAGAGAATTGAAAATTTAATTTTTAAATGGGTGTTCTGTCATGGAATTTGCTCTTCTAAAGAATTCGGTATACAAGGAGGAGGACTAGTAGGTAAATACAAACTTCAAAAATTTTGGAAAATTCTCCCAAAGTATTGTCATTTAATGTTCCTCTGCAAAAGGTCATAATGACGTCTATGTTGACTGGAGATTTCTCCAGTACGTATCTGTAACATTTAATATGAGCAGAGGAGGTTACAAGGTAATTGGCTTTTAGTGTATTTGAAATTGGTGGAAATAAAATGATACTAATTAGCTGAAAATTACGCAAGTTTTCTGAGCGAATATCCAACTAAACCGATGTGACGTATTCTACCGGAACGTTGAGCCATTTTAAGGGCTGGTAGAGTTTCATTTAACAAGACGCGCTTGTGCAATTCAAATTCGGTGTCATGGATCTGAAAAGTAGTCTATGGGGGTAGCGAATATTCGGATGACGTTCCATATTTACGGCTTTCTGTCGTTGTAATTTTTTATTCTTAGCAATGAGTAAGACTGTTACTTGCAAAAAACAGATATCGGCATAAGGTAGGCGAAGTCTTTTGAGGCTTCTAGTTAGTGAGTGTAATATAGTGTCGGCTCGGTAGTCAAAAGCTCGAGCAAAATCTAGTTCAAAACGACCAACTACCACCGATAAAAAATAAGATTTTCGAGGGAAATACCTAAGCGCCTAAAAAGCATTGCATAATAGCCATTTGCAATTGGCAAAAAAAACTCAGAAACTAATTAGTTTATATCATAAATTTATCAAGTAGAATGAAATGAAGCTAAATTAAGGCTACGGAAACTTTGTAAACCCGTGAACCTTGCCAAGTATTTGTTCTGACCTCGTCTGCCCATACCAGTATCCAGTGTCAATTAGATTTATCCCATTTAGTAGTGCTGTTGCAATCAGTTCTGAGGTTAAAGATTCTAGTTTACCAAAATTTCCTCCAATAGGGCCACAACCTGAAGAAATTTGAAACATTTCAATTTGCATAATTAAGGTGTTATAACACGTAAACTAATGGTTGCGAAGATGTTTTTGATCGTTAAGAATATTTACTTTTAGTTACGACATTTTCGTTGTGTATCAGAACTGCTTTCAGAAGGATTTCTAAGCAGTCCTACTGTTAAACTTTTGATGACTTGACAATACATTAAATGATAACTTGCTTATGCTTCTGATTAAAAGAAGCACTTTTAGAAATGGTTTGAAGTGACTTGATATTTAGCACTAATTGTGTTACAGTTATTGTTTTTTGATTACCAGTTAAAAAAATCAGTTTTTATCTGGTAAAAGCAAAATTCATCGGGACATATAACTGTTATAATTTATAAGAGTGAATGTTGTAACTTATACACATATTTTAGAATTTTTTAACAGAAGTAAATGTATCAATTTTAACACCCACCAAGTTTATCCTATCGAAATGATAATATTCATTTTTTGCATAGAATACTTCTAATAAAATTTTTCACGTATTGTCTGTTGGTAGCAAATTGAGGTAATTTTTCAAAATTGCCATTAGATATACTTGCAAAATTTAATGAGTAAAGAGCGCTAACCTAATGACACTTTTGAAACGAACATATTGGTGTTTCCAAGTTGTCGATATTGCATTTTTCGTAAAATTTTGTCGTCATGAAAATAAGGAATGTAAGTGCTGGGGAGACCATCTTTAAGGCCGCTCTAAACGTAATACGGTAAGAGGTTCTGTATTACTTTTTCTAGTTTAAAGACACTGTTACTTGTAAGATAGCAGAAATGCATAGTTCTTCATTTCATAATTGGTTCTGTCAGATGCTTTGAATCTTTTTTCATTCAAATCTTACTGGTGCTGCGTTACGTGTCGTCAATTCATTGGAACGTAGTGCCGATAAGGAGCCCAGAAGAGGATGGGGCTCACAGGAAGCCGACCGTTTTGGATACTGAAAATCTTTACTGTAATTTCGCCCAGTTTTCAAACTATTTTTCTGCGTCATCTAAATGCAAGTTCAGTTCTCTGTAATAAAGTTTAGGCTGATTGTTGCCACCACATATTTCTCGATCAGATGTCAAACTGGGTTAGAAAAATAAATTAGTGTTTAAATTCATAACAAATGACTGCAGACAGGTTTGCTAAAAAATTTTTTATAGAAAAATTATTTGCATTGTTATGGTTGGCCTTTCACAATTAAGTTTGTCGGATAACATTCAACAACTTTTTCCTTTGATTTTCGATCTTTGTACAACATATATGTTGCCTTGCTTCCATCCCTAATGCTGTAAAACAACAACTATACGCTACACTGCCTGAACAACGTCACTAAATTTATAATCTAATTCGTTAATTACACTAAGGCAGGTCTCAAGAAATCAAAATCTAATTCCTGTTTTTATATTGCTTTAGTTTATTGTCATGGTCGCGATATTTTTTCTTGTCCACATTGACCATACTCACTGATATATGTAATTAGTAATATTTATTTTGATATAATCAATTGGCACAGTTAAACTGGTAGAATAGATGCTTTTTTTGCCGTTTTACAGTGGCAAAAGAATAAATATCTAAATGAAACTAAATAAGGACAATGAATTCAGTCAGAAACAAAATTATAAAGCAAAAAAATTGAAAAAGTTTACCTTTTTAAAAGATAATTCATTGGTATTCTTCCTGAAATCAATGTCTAAAGGATATCCGCGAAGCCCTGTCATCGTATGGGATTGAGTATTCCGTATACTGGTGTGCATCTGCATCGGAAATTTTGTACTGTTTAGCACATTATTTGATTCAGGTCGTATACCAATTAAGTACTGTAGTATACAAAATTAGAGCATAAAAATAACTTAAATTAGTAGTTCAGAATTTAAAAACAGATAAAATTGAAGCACTGGAAAGTCACATCAATTGAGTTTGGAACTGTGACGAAAATTTGGACACCAAAACTTCTGGTGCATTGTGGTACTTGAGAATAAATTTGGTAAGAATACGAATGGCAAACAATGGTAATTCTTTATGCATGCATGAGATGTCAGTCAGTTTGAGTACTTCAGATGAACAAATCTTCAGTGACATCATTCTTTACTCATTAATTTTTATGTTTACCCTATCTGTAAATTTGTCGTTTTTATTGCTCTTTTTTCTTCCTAAGCAAACTCTATTTATATCTTCAAAATATCATGCAATTATTATAGATAACTTCATTAAGCTTTGGAAGGCTAATGACGTTTTTGATGCTTTGAAATTTTGAATACACTTATAAACAAATTTTTTTTTTTTCTTTCGCAGTTATGTTCCGCTATTGTTGACTAAACTTTCAACGATATTCGTGAACATTTAGAAGTACTCAAAAAATAAAAGAAGAGTTTTTAAATAGTTTTCAGCTAAAAGCAACAGTTCAAGAAAATTATAAGCTTTTTTTCCTCCTCTGCATTAAAAATTGCTAAAATTTTACAGCCAAAAGATTGCATTATCACTCTTTTGCATCGATTAATCGTTTAACTTTATTTTAAACAATTGGCATTTGTTCTAAAAGAAACCAGAAAAAAATTAAAACAATTAAATAGCTCAGCTTTAAGGTATTTCCAAAAAACTTTTAAGTAGGTTCAATAAAATTGATGAAATAAAAAATGCTGTTTTTTAAATGTGGATAGATGGTTAAAAAGTATGTTATTTGTAACATATTTCTCGCAACTTTTCTTTGTATTTATTAGATAATTTGAAGAAATCAAATATCAGTTTACGCTTTCTGTGAAATCTATAAGTACATAAACTTTTCTGCAAAGTCATCTGCAAAACTTGGAATTAATATTTTATTCGTTTTGATAAGTTGAATTACCTCTTCTGTTGAATTATCAGAGTTTATGCTTTTTTTTTT